GCTCTTCCAATTCTGATGGAGATAACAACCCATGGAGCAGCATTACAAGCACCATTTTGCTCAATCAACCAACAAAAGCAAGTGCCTCAGACTCTCTATTTTTCTTTTCTTAGATGCATCATGGGAAACAGAACTTAGTCATATGAAAGAAATTTTGTTTCATTTTGTAAATAACAGAATTGGCGCATAAAAAAAGTACATGGCGTGATGAGATTGATGCTAATTAAATCATGTCCAGCATTGCTTGCAAGTTGCATGTAAACAACTTAATAACATCGAGTTTATGGTTTCGGTAATGTGATGTTTACCAACTTTTTCGATTTTTCATAGTTTCATCTCACCTTAATATAGGCTGAGAGATTATTAACAAGAAAAAGAAAAAGTGTAAAACGTTTCCGAAGTTGCATATGCATGATTTCTGTTCTGAATACATTATCATGCACTTTCGGTTCAGGTTTATCGTACCAGATTCTTTCAACTTAATATAGTGGTTCGTTCCCAATATGTAGCACAATTGTATTTTAGCCATTTGAACTCTGTTTTCTAGTTCATTTCCATTCCTTTCATTTCATGTGGTCAGATTCAACCTGCCCTCCTGGACCAAACGTGGATGCTGACTTTAGGGAAGCACCAATGATGCTCAGGCCATACGTCAATGGAACCAAAAGAGATATAGTTGTTGCTGTCCAGAAAAGTGGGTTTGCTTGGGCTCTAGATCGGAATAACGGCAGCCTTGTGTGGTCAACGGTAAGTTGACTTTTGACTCACTTATTATCATAACAGTTCATAATTACTATCGATCAGACATCAACAATGTAGCAGATGTTGTAAATTGTTAATCGATACAAATTAATCACTCCCCTTACATAAATGAATTCCAATTGTATAGGAGGCTGGCCCTGGTGGCGTTGCAGGAGGAGGAATGTGGGGAGCAGCTACCGACAAGAAGAAGGTGTACACCAACATTGCTAACTCTGATAACAAAAACTTTACCCTAAAACCATCTACCAACATAACAACTTGGGGTGGATGGGTTGCGATGGCTCCTGGCAATGGAAAAATCATATGGTCAACGGCCAATCCCAGCAATGCAACTTCTTCTGGCCCAGTTAGTGTGGCTAATGGTGTCTTATTTGCTGGATCCACAAATCCACAAGGCTCCATATACGCGATGAACACCAAAACTGGAAAAATTCTGTGGTCGAATGAGACCGGAGCAACCGTAAGCAATGGCTGCATTTACGTTGGCAATGGATATAAACGCACGTATATTGCCGGAACCTCGCTCTTTGACTTCTGTGTCACATAAATGAACCTTTGATTGAACAAGGTTATTTTTCTTTTCAACATTGGAAGGAAGACGTGTGAAATTATTTATGAATCTACAAGTTGTTAGAAGGTGCAAATCATATTTGCATTATGTATCTACAAGCCATTTATCATGTACAAATCAACTTTAATTTGACGATCATTTCTCTGTTTCCTGTACTAAATATGAATTGTTCTAATATGAGAATCGAATTGAGTGGTCACCACCACCCATGATGTTCCAAATTTTAAATCGTTCCTATTGTTAATTAAAGCTAAAACTCTTTTGCGTTTTCTTACTCAAATTAATTAAGATTACTCTTTTTTTTTTCTTCAAGTTTCTTGTATATATGGCTAATCCCCTTTCACTTTTGGAACATATAGTTTCTCTCTGTAAATATTATATCTTTTGCGTACACGTCTAGCCATTTCAAAAATCTTTCATCATATACATTTCAAAATCACCTTTTATACCACCTCTCTAATAGATACCCACCAATACAACGACGCTCACTTCTATTGGAGCCCTTTATATTGTCCTTGCATCTTGCAAGAGCATATATATTATATGGTACTATAGGCTAGCTAGCTCTTCTTAATTTGCTTGATATCATTCTTTAATTATTTTCACCAAAATTTTCAGATTTTACACTCCATATCATGTTATGTTATGAGTATATGAAATAACATATGTGGGTTAGGTTAGTTGGTTAAGATAGTGAGTTCATTTTCTTATACTCAAGTTCAAGTCCCCTCCCCGTAGATTAGATAGAATTTAGAGTAGATTATCACTTGTATAAAACAAATTGTGTAAAAAAAATAATAATATGTCCATTAATTAATCTACAAATTTTCATAATAAATTTTATTAATTTAGAAGGCCAAAATCTTGAGCGGGTTGACCGTTATCTGAAAGATTTGATTGACTTTTCCGCCTTATCTTGTGTTGTTAAACATGATCTTCAAGTTGATATTATAAAAGATTATTAACCTTTGAGCGGGTCAAATCAAAGGTTTGTTTAAATAAATTAATCAGCAAAAGCTATTTGCTTTATTTTATTAGTGAATCAAATTGGAACTTGGAACTTGATTTGCGTATTCATAGTTTGATTATTGACTTTGATTTGTGTGTTCACAATTGGAACTTGACAGGAATATATACATTGGAACGTCGTTGTTAGAAGAGAGTGCCAGCGTAGAGGAATGTTGTACTTGTACCTTCCGTGGCAGCTTTGTCAAATTAGATGCCAAATCCGGTGCCGTTTTATGGCAAACATTCATGCTGCCCGATAATCATGAAAGCACAGGACAATGTCTCGCTTGGTTCCGATAATCATGAAAGCACAGGACTTTTATTGTGGTGGATCATATTGCTTTGATTACATGCATGTTTTACACGAGAAATGGTTATGTATGTTAGTTACATAAAAATAACGTGACATGCTGATGTAGTATATCGAATTTAAATAATGAATCCTAAAACAAAATAATTGGTCCTTTTTACTTATAAGAAGCATTTTATCCGCTTATAGGATAGTTATAAGTTTTATCTTTTTGAGATATGTGATTAACAATGTCTATGCTTGATTAACTAAGCACAAAGCTATGATATTAAGCAGGAAACCGGGCCTGGTGGCATTGGCGGAGAAGGAACTTGGGGATCAGCCACTGACAAGAAAAGAGTGTACACCATAATTGCTAATTCTGATGGAAAAACTTTACACTTAAACCCTCTAACAACATAACAACTGCGGGTGGATGGGTGGCAATGGATCCTCGTACTGGCGAAATCCTATGGTCAACGGCCAATCCCAGTAATGCAGCCTCTCCTAGCCCAGTTGGCGTGGCTAACGGTGTTTTAGTTGCTGGATCCACAAATTCAAAAGGACCCATCTACGCACTCAACACCAAAAATGGGGAAATTTTGTGGACCTACGACACCGGACTGGAGCAACCGTGTACGGTGGCTTGTCAATAAGTAATGGGTGCATTTACGTTGGCAATGGATATACAGTTAGTGTTGGAGCTGTGTCTCCATTTAGTGGTGGAACTTCACTCTACGCCTTCTGCATCACATGAACCTCTCCATTCTTCCAACATGTATAATAATAATAATAATAATAATAAAGCATCTGGCACAAGCAAAATGATACATATTTGCATTGCTTTAAGCCCGTAATAAATAAGGTAAATGTACCATCTAGGTTGAAAAACCAAATCAACTTACATTTTGTGCACTACTTGTTGATGTTCACTTCTAACCTACAAAGTAGATTATTCAGAGAGAAAGAAAATAAGAAAGGGGTAATTAAATTCATAATCATTTAAACAAAGTTATAATATATTTAAATCATGTGGTTTTCTGTGTTATTGAACCAACAAATAAATATATCATCTAGGCATCTTTCGGGGTTTCAAAAAGTTTAGGAGGAGGAGAGGCTACCCCATCTCAATAGGAGGGCATACTAAGGCCTCTTATTTAGGCATCTTTTTAAATATACGAGAATCACGCATATCGTCATATGCATGTATATGTCAACCAACAATATAAATTTGAAGGGAATAAAACAATCCACATCGCTTTAAAGGACTCTTCTTTTTAGGATGTATATTGAAGACGGATATCATACATACATGTAAGCTGTGTATATAATAAGCAACAATTTTTAATGTCAACTGATTGAACTATATATTAAGCATCCCCCTGGCCCTTTATATACGTGACACAATAAACCTCATAATAACATACGGGATACATGGCAGCTTTAAAATTCAACAACAATCATTTAGCCGTTTCTATATTCACCTTTTGTCTACTAACTACTACCACAGCCAGTGCAGGCTCGCATGAGAAGGCTACACAAAACTGGTTAAACCATGGCGGAGATTTGTACAATAGACGATATGCCAGCAAGGAGACCAGGATCAGCCCCGAAACAGTTTCGAAACTAAGCTTCAAGTGGGAGTTCTATACAGGCAGGGAAGTATCTGCAACACCAGCAATTTACGATGACACCCTTTATTTTCCTAGCTGGAATGGATACATCTATGCTGTCAAAGCTTCTGATGGTTCTGTAGTTTGGGAAAAGAATTTAGAAACCTTGACTGGGATTAATGCGACTGGTTATCTTCTTAATGTCAACACGACGGTCTCAAGATCAACCCCGACAATCGCTGGTGACCTTTTGCTCATCGGAATCTGTGGACCAGCTGTTGTTATTGCCGTGGAACGGTTAACGGGGAAGCTCATATGGTCAACCTGTTGGGAAAATGGCTCACCTAAGGATACAAGGTTGGTTTTGGCGCTGAAAGGAAGATTTTGAATCTGCCTAAAAGCGACCGGTCGCTAGGCATTTGCGACCGGTCGTTTTGAAGCAGATTCGAAGTCTGGAGCAACATCAACGAGCGACCGGTCGCCAGTTCTTTGCGACCGGTCGCAGGAAGCTAGCGACCGGTCGCTTAGCATTTAACCTTGCTTGATGGCCATGCATCAAGTGTTATTACCATGTCCGGAACTTACTACAAAGGGTTAGTCATATATATTAGTCATTAATTTTATCCAAATTTTAGGGTTAAAAAGTATTAATCCCTTAATTAGAGTTATATCTTAGTGTTGAACATGATCCTCAACTTGATATGATGATTAAAAAAAAATTATTAGCAATATTGGTCAATGGTTTTAAAGAAACTAATCAGCAAAAACTATTTTCTTTATTTTATAAGTAGTAAATTAACCTATGTGGTTCTTACATGGCTAGATATGCCAAATTCAAGAAAGTCGAATAATATCTGCCGTCCATACATGGCATATACTCAACACATTATATAATGTCATGTACTTGAGATATTATATTATTGAAACTTGCTATGTCGATATAGATTTCGTTCGTTAGTAGAGGAGCCTTAGATTGTCTTAATTTTGATGTTAGATCGTTATTGTAATAGCTCTTTGTGACTAGTGACTTTTTTAGTTGAATTATGAATGCAATCCCAGAATTTCTCAACCAAAAAAAAAATCCCTTTGCTTAATTTGCAATTTCCATCAATATTTTTCAATTTATAATACTAACTTAGAAATTCTACAGCGGTTTTTACATTGGAACTTCGTCAGTAGAAGAAAGTGCCCCCATTGCTACATGCTGTACCTTCCGTGGCAGCTTTGCTAAATTAGATGTAAAATCAGGCACCATCTTATGGCAAACATTCGTGCTGCCCGATAATCATCAAAAGCGAGGGCTATATTCAGGGGCAGCAATCTGGGGCAGCAGTCCATCCATTGATGTCCATAGAAGACATGTATACATTGGCACTGGGAACTTGTACTCAGTCCCCGAAAATGTAACCCAATGCCAAGAAAACCAGACCAGTAATTCAACCATCCCCACTCATCCGGATGCTTGTGTTGAGCCTGAAAACCATGGAAACTCAATCCTAGCCCTTGATTTGGACGGTGGCGATATCAAGTGGTACCGCCAGCTGGGCGGCTACGATGTGTGGTTTGTTGCTTGCTACCTTAATGCTTCAAACTGCCCCGTTGGACCCAATGTTGATGCTGATTTTGGGGAAGCACCAATGATGCTCAGAATTTATGTCAATGGAACCAGGAGAGATATTGTTGTTGCTGTTCAGAAAAGTGGGTTTGCTTGGGCTCTGGATCGGAACAATGGCAGCCTTGTATGGTCTACGGTAAGTTAATTAGTCGGCTTTAAACATAACGTAACATGATGATGTGGTGTATCGAATCTAAATGGTGCTCTGAATCGGAACAATGGCAGCCTTGTATGGTCTACGGTAAGTTAATTAGTCGGCTTTAAACATAACGTAACATGATGATGTGGTGTATCGAATCTAAATGGTGAACCCTAAAACGGAACTCTAAAATGATTAGTCCCCTCTACTTATGTAAGAGGATAAATGATTTGGTATTGTATCTGCAGGAAGCCGGGCCGGGTGGCATTGGCGGAGGAGGAACTTGGGGAGCAGCTACTGACAAGAAAAGGGTCTACACCAACATTGCCAATTCTGATCGCAAGAACTTCACTCTGAAGCCATCTAGCAACATAACAACTGCGGGTGGGTGGGTGGCAATGGATGCTGGCAGTGGGAAAGTCCTATGGTCAACGGTCAATCCCAGCAACGCATCTTCTCCTGGCCCAGTGAGTGTGGCTAATGGTGTTTTGTTTGCTGGATCTCCAGATCCACAAGGATCCTTATACGCAATGAACACCAGAACTGGAAAAATCTTG